TTCCAAGATTCATTGGTAGACTCAGTAGCATATAATGTTTCCACTATATCTTAACGCTTTCTGTATTTATTGCAATAGACATGTTTTTTTTTTGTTTGTTTTTCGTTTTGGTTTTTGAGACAGGGTTTCTTTGTGTAGCTTTGGACCCTATCCTGGCACTCGCTCTAGAGATCAGGGTGGCCTCGAACTCACAGAGATCTGCCTGCCTCTGCCTCTACAATAATCCATGTGTTCTTTGAGACAGCAACGAGACGTGACTGAACTTTTAGAAAGAATACAGAAGTGTAAGACAGTCCTATGCTCAGTACTTGAAAACAGAAAGCAGAAGAATTTAAACAGGATTCCTCCAGTGATATTTCTTATCAAATTCTTCAGTATAGTTAGTGTTTCCATTTTGCATATCTTGAATTTTTCTCACAATTAAAAACATGTCCCGGCTGTTGGTGGCACACGCCTTTAATCCCAGCACTTGGGAGTCAGAGGCAGGCGGTCTCCATGAATTTGAGGCCAGCCTGGTCCACAGAGTAGTGCCAGGACACGCTCCAAAGCTACACACAGGAAACCTGTCTTGAAAATCCTAAAACAAAACAAAACAAAAAAATTGTTCCTGATCTTTTAAGTTAGTGTAGGATCCTGGCCCATAGATGCCACCTGTCTGTTGTGTTAGAAGGCATTCTCTTGTTACACTTGAATCATGATGACTTAATACTAGTACACAATTCACTTGTATTTGATTAATCTGAAGTAGGATTGGGATAGTTTGCAATATTTTTACTCTAACATGAGTCTGTGAAGTATGATTATTCTTTAATCGCCTTCCCTCTATACATATCTTCATATTTTAGCTTCCTTTTTCCCAGGGGCAAATACACAGGCACACTTATGGGAAATAATCTCAGGAGTCAATGTACAGAGTGGACCTGAGAACAACCCTATGAGGAAAGTTAAGAGACACAGCAGTGTGTGGAGCTCAGAAAGGGAAGGATAGAAATAAGCAATAGCTGCCCGTGACAGCCCTGCCTCAATCTAGCTGGAGGTTCTGATGCCTGGCATCATGGTGCCTTTGCATCCATTACTTTTCGGGAAGCTGCTGGTTTTTTGTTTTTTGGGTTTGTTTGTTTGTTTGTTTGTTTGTTTGTTTGTATGTTTGTTTTCTAGAGAAAGAAATAAACCTGTGATGCTTTTGAGTAAGACTTTAATCTTTTAAGGAATTAAAATGGTATTGAATGGTAATCTTTATTTGCTATCAGTTAGTATATATTCTGAGAAGAAATATTTAAAGATGGATACATGTATCCTAAATATAATCACTTCAAGACTAACAGAAAGCTAATTTATAGCCATTGATTATTTTTTTCCGTCTTTTTCCAGTTGATAAAGATGAGATATCTGTTATAACTCATTGACCTTTGAAGGTTGTCATGCTGTGTTTGTGAGAATCCATTCATCTACAGTGAATGAAAACTGTCCATTACTAGGAATTGTAATCTCAATAGTTCAAAGTTCACGTATGGTAACTAACAACTTGACAGTCATTTATCACATGTTTATTATTGGAACAAGCCCTATTAATATGAAGTAATCTCATTTTCAGAGAACTATTACAAGTGTGATCCTGTCCATCAGCTCATGGAGACTGAAAAGGAGTCTTGTCAGTATAATGAACTTGGCAAAGTGTTTCATGACCCCTCCACATGTGCACTTTATAGAACAAAGGAAACTACAGAAAACTCTGATAACTACACATGCAGTAATCACAGGTATGCCTCTGTGAACTCATCAAACCCAGACAGACATGAAAGCATGTACACTGGAGAAGAACCGTGCAGATCTAAAGACTGTAAGAAATCTATGAATATGTGTTCCAGCATTACTCAAGATCAGACAATGTACACCACAAGTAAAGAGCACAGGCAGGGAGAATTTGATGACTCCTTCAGCTCTACATGTAGTCTTTTGCTACAACCAATCTACACTGGAGAGAAACGACACCAGTGTGGGACATGCGGGAAATGCTTCAGTGCTGCCTCAAAACTCATTGTACATGAGAGAGTTCATACTGGCATTAAACCCTACAAGTGCAATATTTGTGAAAAATCCTTTTCGCAGAATGCAAGTTTTAAAGCACATCAAAGAGTTCATACTGGGGAGAAACCTTACAAGTGCCAAGAATGTGGAGAGTCATTTCGTTTCTTGTCAGCAATTAATTGCCATCAGAAAAGGCATGCTGCAGAGAAGCCTTACAAGTGCAATGACTGTGACAGACACTTTCCTCACTATTCAGCATTGAGTAGGCATAGGAAAACTCATTCTCAATTGATTTGTGAAGAATGTGGTCAGTCCTTTCTTAAATTATCACTTCTTATTAGGCATTACAGAATTCACACTGGTGAAAAGCCTTACAAATGTGAGGTATGTGACAAATGCTTTAACTGCAACTCAACTCTTAGAACACATCAGAAAATTCACACTGGAGAGAAACCTTACAGATGTGAGGACTGTGACAAATCTTATACTTGCTGCTCACATCTTAGAGCACATCAGAAAATTCATACTGGAGAGAAACTTGCTAAATGTATAGATTGTGACAAATCCTTTATCGATATCACAACTCTTAGAAAACATCGGAGAGTTCATACTGGAGAGCGACCTTACAGTTGTAAGGACTGTGACAAGTCCTACAGCACTCCCTCAAAACTTCGAATACATCAAAGAATTCATACTGGAGAGAGACCTTACATATGTGAGGAATGTGGCAAATCCTTTACCAGATTATCATGTCTGAGAATACATAAGAGAGTTCACACTGGGGAGAAACCTTATAAATGTATGGAATGTGACAAGTCCTTTACACAGGACTCAAATCTTAGAAGACATCAGAGAGTACATACTGGAGAAAGGCCCTAAAGCTGTCAGGTTTGTGACAATTTTTTTTCCCCAATCTTATCTTTTAAGGAGACATCAGAAACTTCATACTGGAGAGATACTTGACATTTGCTAAGATTATGACATATCCTGTATCTGAGGTCTTAGAAGACATCAGACAGTTCATACTGGAGAATGACCTTACAGTTGTAAGGACTGTGACCAATCTTCCAGTTGCTGAAATCTTAGAAAGCCTCACAATATTCACACAGGGGTGAAACCCTACAAATGTATGGAATGTGTCAAGTCCTTTACCCGGGACTTGAATCCTAGAAGATATGCAAGAGTTCATACTGGATGTCGACTTTACAGTTGTTAGGAATGTAACAAATCCTTTGTCCTCTCTGCTGCTCTATGGAAACATCAGAAAATCCATAATGGAGAGAAACCATACACATGCAAAGACTGAGCCATCCTTTATCCAGATTTTGAATCTTAGGAGACACTAGAAATGTCATGCTGGAGAGAAACTGACTGATCAAATAATGTGACATTGCATTTTCCACTACGCACTGCTTACAAGTCACAACAGTTTACAAAATACTCAGGGAGAGCAATGAAAGAGAGATCTTGATAGAGGGAGCCAGTATGGGTTTAGGGAGAAACCTTGTGCTGGAGAAATTCACAAGAACCCACATTGGTGACCCCAGCTAAGACTCCCAGCAATAGTGTAGAGGATGTCTGAAAGGACCTTCCCCTTAATCAGATTAGTGACTACCCTAAATGTCATCACAGAACCTAAATCCAGTAATTGATGGAAGCAGATGAAGTGACCACAGCCAAGCACTGGGCTGAACTACTGGAGTTAAGTTGATGAGAAGGAGGAGCCATTATATGATCAAGGGGGTGGGTTAAGATGATGATGGAGAAAACCAAGGAGATATCTGACCCCAGCTAGTAGGAGCTCACAGTCCATGGACTGACAGATGGGGAATTGCATGTGACTAAAATAGGCCCTCTGAAAAGGGGTAACAGTTATATGCCCTGATCTGTTGAGCGGGGCAGGTCTGGTAGTGGGACCAGAACCTATCCCAGGTTCAGGTCTTTTAGAGGCCCATTCCCCATGGGAAACCTTTCAAGGTGGGACACCTTGCTCAGGCTTAACATAAGGGGGAAGGGCTTTGTTGACTCCCCAATGAAGGCCTTACCTCCTCTGAGGTATAGATTGGTTGGGGAACTGGGAGGGGTAGGAGATGGGGAAGGAGGGGTAACTGGGGTTGCTATGTAAAATGAAAAATAAAAATTTTAGATTAAAGAAAATAGAAACATAATGGTAAGAAACTGGTGAAAGACTTTATGATGGTTTATGTTTTTAACATTTTCCTAGAGTGTATATTAAAATGAAATTCTGCATATATAACAGTGAGAAGGTTTCCATTTCTTTAAATGTGTGTGCATGCTTTGCTGGCAACTATGTGTGCTACATGTATGCCTGGTATAGGTGGAGGCCAGAAGGGTCATCATCCCCAGAAGCTGGACTTCCAGACAATTGTGAACTGCCATGCATGTTGGAAATTGAATCCAAGTCCTCTGATAGGGCAACCAGTACACTTCACCCCTAAGCTGTGTCTTCAGACCCTATTAGAAAAATGTAATAAAAACATGTACCGGCCCACCCTGAGTCTGGACACACTTCACCTCTCTCTACACTCTGCCCTCTGTCTTGGGGGGGGTCCCCGAGCCTCTGTTGAGTCTGGGAGCTGCTTTGCTCCCCCCCAACCTCCCCCATCAACCCCTGCTCGCTTTTGCCTCAATTCTCCCCCCTGCCCCCGCACTAGACAAGAGTGGAGCTGCCCAGACCAGAAGGCCCACCCTGAGTCTGGACACACCTCAGTCTTGTCCAGCCACCACCCTCTGCCATATGGATGCCATCGGAGAGAAGGAGAGACCCCCACATGAGCTCCATGCAAGAAGGGATGGGAAGAAGACAGAGTAAGAACACACTCAAGGGGGCTGGAAGATAGATGGCTTAGAGGTTAAGAGCACTGACTGCTCTTCCAGAGGTCCTGAGTTCAATTCCCAGCAACCACATGGTGGCTCACAGCCACCTGTAATGAGATCTGGTGCCCTCTTCTAGTATGCAAGCATACATGCAGATAACTGTATACATAATAAATAAAATCTTTAAAAAAAGAAAAAGAACACACTCAAAAACAGAAAGACCAGTATGACACAACCAGAATCTAGGGAACCCACAGCCGCAAGATCTGAAAAGTCCAACACAGAGGATGAAGAGATGGGCATCAAAAATTATCTTAGGAAGATGAGAGACCATTAAAGAGGAAACAAGAAAATCCCTTAAATAGAAGAAAAAACGAGCAAAAAAATTACATGAAATGGAGGAAAAGACAAACCAAAAAATTCAAGAAGTAAACAAATCTCTTAAAGAATCTAAAGAAAGCCAAGAAAAAACAACCAAACAAGTGAAGGAAGCACTCGAAAAAGTTCAAGGCATGAAACCTGAAATAGACACAATAAAGAATACACAGAACAGGGGGATGCTGAAAATGGAAAGCCTGATAAATGATCAGAAACTAAAGATGTGAGTATAACCAACAGGATTAAAGATGTGGGGGACCAAAGTATTTCCGCTATGGAATATTTTGAGATCCAGCTGTTAGCCTCACTAAACATGGAGCACTGGAAAGCTCCGGCCCACTATTGTATTGTTAATGCCAGTAGGGCTAATATTGTTTACCATAGCCTCAGGGTAATATACCACCTAATTTGCATATCTATGTACCTAAGCATCTGAATGGGCCTGCACCTGGGCAGGGAGATCAGAGGTATGTGAGTAACTTGTGTGAGGATAGAAGGTTAGGAGTTAGGGGTGAGCGGCCAGAGCAGAAAGGGAACAAAGAGAGAAATGATTCCCTCATGATGTTGACAGGATGGTTAGGAAACACCAGAAAAGATGGCTAATAAAGAAATGACTCTAGTTCTACAACATGGAACTGAGAGCTCTCTAAAATGAAAAGATGCCTGTGTTTGATCTTTATCGCCATTGGATTGCTGGGAGCTTCCAGGTCCACACACCCCCACTCAGGCTGAACCTCATGGCTGTCATGGGTTAAAGCTGAGACAAGCCGGGACACGACATAAAGAGATGGAGGAGAGTATCTCAGTTGTTGAAGACTTGCTAGAGGATATACAGACATTGACCAAAGAAAATTTCAAACAATGAAAAGGCCAAACCTAAGAATAATAGGTATAGAAGAAGGTGAAGAAATACAGCTCAAAGGTACAGAAAACATATTCAAAAAAATCAGAAGGAAACTTCCACAACCTACAGAAAGATATGCCTATGAAAGTACAAGAAGCATACAGAACACCAAACAGACTGGACCACAAAAAGAAGTCCCCTCAACACATAATAACCAAAGCACCAAACCTACAGAATAAAGAGAAAATATTAAGAGCAGCAAAGGAAAAAGGCCAGGTAACACATAAAGACAATCAGAATCACACCTGACTTCTCAATGGAAACTTTGAAAGCCAGAGGTCCTACATAGATATCCTACAAACACTAAGGGAACATGGATGCCAACCCAGCCTACTGTACCCAGCAAAACTTTCAATCACTATAGATGGAGAAAACAAGATATCCCATGACAAAACCAGACTTAAACAATACATATCCACAAATCCAGCACTACAGAAAGTTCTGGAAGGAAAATTCCAACCCAAGGAAGATAACTGCACTCACAAAACATAGGCAATAGATAATCCAATTTTACCAAACAAAAGAAACAGGAGAGTAAGGAGGGTAAAATACACACACAATGACACTACCAACAATCAATGGACATTAATATTCCTCAATGTCAATGGTCTTAACATGCCCATAAAGAGATACGGGCTAACAGAATGGATAAAAAGACAGAATCCATCCTGCTGTATATAAGACACACACCTCAACTTCAAAGACAGACATTGCCTCAGAGCAAAGGGTTGGGAAAAGATTTTCCAATCAAATGGGCCTAAGAAACAAGTTGGTGTAGCAATCCTAATATCTAACAAATTAGACTTCAAACCAAAATCAATCAAAAGAGATGAAGAAGTGCCGGGCGTTGGTGGCGCACGCCTTTAATCTCAGCACTTGGCAGGCAGAGGCGGTGGATCTCTGTGATCGAAACCAGCCTGGTCTACAAGAGCTAGTTCCAGGACAGCCTCCAAAGCCACAGAGAAACCCTGTCTCAAAAAACCAAAAAAAAAAAAAAAAAAAAAAACAAACAAACAAAAAAAAAAACCCACCCCTCTTTCACCTCTATACAGGAGCACCAGACAGAAATTTAACAAAGAAACTAACAGAAGGTATGTCCCAACTGGGTTTAACAGATATCTACAGGACATTTCATCCAAATACAAAAGAATATTCTTCTCAGCGCCACATGGAACCTTCTCTAAAATTGAGCACATACTGGCAACAAACTAAACCTCCACAGATACAAAAGAATTGAAATAACCCCCTGTATCTTATCAGATCACCATGTTTTAAAGTTAGAATTCAACAGCAATACAAATTTCAGAAAACCTACAAACTGGTGGAAAATGAATAACACCCAATTGCACCATTCCTGGGTTGAGCAAGAAATAAAAAAAGAAATTAAAGCCTTCCTAGAATTTACTGAGAATGTAGACACAACATACCCAAACTTATGGGACACTCTGAAAGCAGTGCTAATAGGAAAGTTCATGGCACTAAATGCCCACATGAAAAAACTGGAGAAAAGTCATACTAGAGAATTGACAGAACAACTGAAAGCATTAAAGAAAAAGAAGCAAAGTCACCACTGAGGAGTAGACGTTGCCAGGAAATAATCAAACTGAGGGCTGAAATCAATAAAGTAGAAACTAGGAAAACATACAGAATCAATGAAACAAAGAGTTGGTTCTTTGAGAAAATCAAAGATAGACAAAGCTCTATCCAAACTAACCAAAAGGCAGAGAGAGAGCATGCTAATTAACAAAATCAGATATGAAAAAGGGGATATAACAACGGACACTGAGGAAATCCAGAGAATCATCAGGTCATACTTTGAAAACCTGTACTCCACAAAATTTGAAAAATCTAAAGGAAATGGACAATTTTCTGGATAGATATCACTTACCAAAAGTAAACCAAGAACAGATAAGCAGTTTAAATCGGCCTGTAACCCCTAACGAAATAGAAGCAGTCATCAAATCCTCCCAACCAAAAAAAGCCCAGGGCCAGATGGCTTCACTACAGAATTCTACCAGAAATTCAAACAAGAGCTAACACCTCAAATTGTTCCACACAATAGAAGCAGAAGGGACATTGCCAAACTCTTTTTACGAGGCTACAATCACTTTGATACCAAGTCACACAACGATACAACTAAAAAAGAGAATTACAGACCAACATCCCTCATGAACATCCATGCAAAAATACTAAACAAAATATTGGCGAATCGAATCCAAGAACACATCAGGAAAATCATCCACTATGATCAAGTAGGCTTCATCCCAGGGATGCAAGGATGGTTCAACATATGAAAATCCATCAATGTATGGAGGGAGGAATTTGGAGTTTCTTTGTTATGCTTTTACCCTAGGCTAGAGGACCTGGAGTTTCCTTGTGTCAGAAGAATGTGTCTTTTCTGTAGCCTGCAATGGATGCTAAAGCCAGGGGATGAGTGAGGGTCTGGTCCCTTCTAAAACAAATTGGTGTCTTCAGAAGTCAGTGGTCCAACCATTGATAAATTCTCAGTGTTGAGTTCGTCTTGCTTTGTACAGCTCTCACCACTAGACAGAAGTCCTTCATTTTAATAACTCAGAAACAAATCAGTCCTTTTGAGTCCTGTTAAAGATGCTTTCAGATAAAATATAGGAAAAACACTTTTTAATGCAGTTTTGAGTGCAGAGGCCCTTGCGGTGCCAGGTTCAGAAAATAAGTAGGTTACATGGCCCCAGCCCTGAAAACATCAGTGAACCATTCCCTTTTATATCTCTGTGAACATTGAGAAAGAGGAGGAGGAAAGGGAGTAATAAGGGAAAGAGGAGGAAGGGCTAAGACCTGCCATTCTCTAGACTCCATACAGCTGTTGTAATCAGTAACCAACAGCAACAGTACTGACCCACATTGACCTCACACTAGACCAGTCAGTGTACGAAAGGGAAGGTCTCACAGGGTCCACTCTTTACCTCTCAAAGTTGTCTATAGATGGATTTTGGGAGGAGAATCACTGACTTTAGCTGTAGTTCTCTGCTCAGCCCAGTAGGCTCCAACACAGAGCTCACACATGGCTCCGGTCATTCTCAGTAAGTCTCAAAACTAAATGAATGAAGATGAACACGATACATTTTTTGCAATTGTGGACCAGGATAGCAGACAGGTAAAAAGTGATTCAAGGGTATTTCCCACTTTGTCTTATAATAGGTTCACAGTGGTTGGAATTATGTTGAGATCTTTGATCATTTTGACTTAAGTTTTGTGCATGGTGATAGACTTGGATCTATCCACAGTCTTCTAAATGGCCAGAGCTGCAGCCATCAAGTGCACCACCTGTGCACATTCACTAAGTTCCCTTTTAAATGGGCCTGGCCCACTTCTGATATTTCCTTGTGCTTCTTGACCTATATCTCCAAAATACAAGAAGATGGGATTTACAAGTGTATTTTCCATATGGCTGGCCAGAAGCATGAATTTTGAGATGCAAATCAAAATTTGACACAGAATTAAAATTTGCCTGCATTATGATTTTTTTGTTTGGAGACAGCATTAATGCAATCCTTGTCTTGGAACTGACTCTGTACATCAGGAAGGCCCCAAACACA